TTTAGAGAGAATTGTTTTTCTAGGGAGTCAGCAAAAGTTTCGATTTTGTCTTGCGCTGTGAAGACATGCCCTGTGTCTTTATGTAAGGGCTTATCCACCTGAGGTGTGGTATGAAGAGATTTAGTCTTTCTCTAGATAGTCCTTGCTGATTTATTCAATCTTTTCTACCCATTGTCTTCTTCTGTAATAACAGCATTTCTTATCTATTTGCTTATTAAGGTCAATCATCTCTTCTCTGTAATCTGGATTAGAAGTTTTTTAGTATTTCTTTCAGCACCAGTTTCTTTGTTTGATTAAATACTTAATTTCAGGTGGAAGATTCAGGTAAATAGCTTTTGAGGTAATTGACTTACTATAGGCAGTTATGATATCATTATGGAGAATAGTAATTTAATTATCTGAAATATTTGAAACTGCAAGGCTTGGTTTATTTAATATGAGGATATATTGAAATAGGTTCCAATTGGTTCTAGGGAACTGCTTATCGTCCTGTGTTAAGGATATTCCAAACGAGAAATAGATGGGAAAATGATCAGAGGATAATGCATTCAGAACGTCTGCAGCAATGTATTCAAATTGGATATATAAGTTGTAACTACACCTCTTATTGTATATGACTTTTTGAGGATTCATGACCTCCTAGACATGGTATAGCTTGCAGCTAGACCTTGAGGAATACGCCACACACACACGCACAAATTTGAAATAGTGAAGTCAAGAATTCTGCTTGCTTGTATTCTGTTTTTTTATTTTTTATTTCTTTTAATTGGTATCTTACGTCTTCTATGTATACTTGGATGAAGCGAGGATATCACTGTTTCCTGTGCCTTATCAAGGGCCTAATAAAAGGATCATATCAATTTTCATCTGAAACCTCCATGGTTTCATTTGCTACTGACATTTTGTACTAGCAGTACAAAAAAAATATTCACCTAAATAAATAACAAAAGTAGTCAACTTGCAAATGCTGAATCACATACAGCGATAAACTAATAATCCGAAATTGCATTCATAGCATTTACTATCAAATCACTAGTAGCATGCCATTTACTATCAAAAACACAAATCAAACTACGATCCCTAAAACCATCAAGCTATCTCTACCAAAGCTCGAAGCTCATGAATCAGAGTCATTTTGGCACTCTCAGTCGCTCCTTGAGAAATTTCTTTTAAGAGCAAATAGCATGTGCATTATAAATGTTAATAATTTGTGATAGACCAGGGAAATTTATTTATTTCTATCAAAAAGAAAGGAAAAATCAAAGAAAGTGGAGAAAAAATGTCCTCCGTCCAAGATTTAATCTTTTTGAGTTACCTATTAGAATCATTTCATAAAACTGGTGGAATGGCAAGGATTAATACAAAACACCGAGTTAGACTCCCATCTTAACACAAACATATTTCAATCTCTTGCACTCGAATACTTTAAACTGCTATTTAAATTAATGTGAGCACAGAATCATTTAAAATTTCAAAATACAAAAGACAATATTTTTGTTTCATTAGTCATAGATAATCCTAATAGTCCTCACTTCCCGTAATATTTTAAGCGGTAGTGAAAAAACTATTAGGGGTAAGCTTAATTTATTTAATTTTGCTAGCGTTTAAGCATTTTACTGCATGATTATCAGTTCTTGGATATTTATATAATTGAAAATATATCGTGGCGTTCAAAATCAATGAAAGTTGCATTTATTACAAAATAAAATGGAATGGCATGAAATTTAATGTCGCCAAAATTATTCAAGAGAAATCTTCCGTAAAAACGGGAGCATTGAACAAACGGAAAATTGGCATGCACGATAGCTAACAATCACAAAACTACGAAATATTACGACTTAAAATTTTTAATTCTAATCCTCGTGGGGAGTTTTGCGAGTGCAAAGGACTAATTTCTAGAATTTGTTATAATAATGTAATTTTAATAGAGTGGTTTTGCATAGTTAAATGATTTTTTTTTTAATTTTTAAATTCTAATTTTTAAAAATATGTTTGTAAAAAACATTATTTTTCATAGCGTATCCACTAAAACAACCAATTAAAAAAACTATAAAATTTCCCGTTGGAAAAAAAAAATTGCTATTTTATTACTATTGTTATGTTTTCATAACAATAGTATTAAAATAACACAAACATTATATAACTTTTAAATAAATAGCATCTACTCATCCATTTTACGTTAAACGTATTAAAACCACTCATGTCACCTTAAGTAAATTAAACCTATCCATTTCCCCTTAACCAAATTAAAACCACTCATTTTACTTTAATCAAATTAAAACCACTCATTTCACTTTAAACAAGTTAAAAGCACCCATTTTACTTTAAACAAATTAAAAACATCCATTCCACCTTAATCAAATTAAAACCACTCATTTCACCTTAATCAAATTAAAACCACTCATTTCACTTTAAACAAGTTAAAAGCACTCATTTTACTTTAAACAAATTAAGACCACTCATTTCACCTTAATCAAATTAAGACCACTCATTTCACTTTAAACAAGTTAAAAGCACCCATTTTACTTTAAACAAATTAAAAACATCCATTTCACCTTAAACAAATTAAAACAGAAGTAATTGTAATAAAAGCACTGAAAACCGATTTTAAAAAATCTCTTACCATTTGTAATCAATAAATTTGTTTAGCTTACGTTGCCTTGTTTCATTCAAAATAGAAAACTTTTTTTGAAAAAGATTGTTAAATCAGTTCGAAAAATGAAGGGTTATCATAGTAACCGAGACTATTAAATGATTGGAGCTGTAATCAAACCTTAGAGGCAATTTTTAAGAAGTGAGTTGACGATTCGTAGGGGCGTTCGCTTAAGAACGGATCTGTCGTTTGAGAAGAAAGTAATGTTGTCGAAGTAAAGACTTCGTTAAGAACGGTCTGATTCTTTAGAGAATCAGGGGAAAGACTGCTCAAATTACTCAAAATAATACCCTACTTGTGTTAAAACGCTTTATACTTGATAACTAGAGGGAAGATATTTAAATAGTTGACCCAAGTTAGCAGAAACAAGATTGTTTTGCCATAGTATATTGTCATAGTATATTGATAATATAAATATTTATATTTAAATTTGAAACCAAAGCACAGGTCTTTTGCAAAACTAAGAAACTAAAACTAAATTCAGTGGCGCGACAGCCCATAGAGGGCCAAAGGCTACTGTGCCCATCTGAGTTTTCTTGACTCTGGGGTGCAGAAACAGATGTTCCGGTTAGGTGGTCAGCCGAACGCGAAAACCCCCCTTGTTTAGTTCCCTAGCATGCTTGGTACTCATTTATCGACCCACTGAAGGGATGAAGGGCTGAGTCAGCCTTGCCCGGATCGGGGATCGAACCCAGAACCTGTGGCACGGGAGCGCGAAGTGCTACCACTCAGCCACCCGAAGTCTTGCAAAACTAAGACAGTAGGAAAAGGAGAGGACATAAACTTGGTACAAACAAATATCGAAAACCACTTTTTTATGGAAGGGGGGGGGTGTATAAATAATTTTTAGAAAGAACGTGTAATTTAGAACGGCAGTAAGAACATATAATTTCTATCGTTTAGAATAAAAATTATGCGTAATAATAATTTTTGTTTTTTGTAGAAATAAGCTATCGTTAACTACTATTTACTTTTTTCTCACTATTATAAAATATATTTTTTCTTTATTAAAAAATATATATTTTTTATTTATTTTAAAATTTAATATGACTGAATGAAAATAAGTGGGTGCCTGAGGCTGATAGCAGCCCTTTACCCTTTCATCCTGACTTGGTCGTTGTGATAGTTCGATGAGGTGGTGGAAATGCAAATGCAGTAAACGGAGAAGAGAAAATGAGTTGTAATCTTGATGAAAAATGATATTAAAGTTATAGCTACGTAGTTATTGTAAACAATTGCGATAATTTTCTCTTGAAATATTTTTTTGTAATTAAGTATATACTCGTATTTTAAATGTTAATTAATGATGATAATTATTGATTGTTTTTTCTTTTCTTTTTTCTTCTTCTTTTTATCCTGAAAAATGGCAGGAGCTGAAATTTTTTCGCTGCCAAGTTTTCATCATTTACGACTAAGGGTTAGATCTAATGAATTAACTCCGGTTTACTGGCACGTTGATCATTTTATTTAGTAGCAAAACTTATGCTTTAATATATGATTAAAATGCTTTTCATTTCCATTTCACTTTAAATAAACCAAAGATTAAATAATCGACCTGTTGGGGATATTCTGCTGTTTTTAACTGCTGGTAAAAGTTTAAAAGCATTCGCTTACTTAATTTTTATTTAACAACCACTATTTTTTTTTAATGGCAGGCACTTGGAACTATAGTCCATTGGCCACAGAAAGTGCCAGACCTGCTAACTCTCCTTTCGTTACCCAGTGGGCACCTGCGGCGAAGCCACGGCGGTGGAGCAGCGTCGCCCACCTTGCACTACCACAACCCGTTTATAGGGCGGGTCACATTCACACACAAAGGAGAAGGGACATAGAACACAGAGAAAGAGACATCCATACCTTGCCCGGGATTTGAACCCAGAACCTTTTTGATGCAAGGACAGTTCCCCGCCCCCTACACAGGCTGGTCGGCTTAACAACCACTATAAATTTTTGTAAACGACCTGTTATGGGGATTCTGATGTTTTTCACTGCTGGTGAAAGTTTACAAACATTTGCTTAGTTAATTTTTATTTAACACAACCGTTATGAATTATTGTAAACGACCTATTGAGGGAATTTCGGTGTTTTTAACTGCTAGGGCGATTGTTTAAAAACATTCGCTTACTTAATTTTGATTTAACAGCCACTACGGTTTTTCGGTGAGCAAACACTTCCGAGTTAGTTGCTCTGTAAATTGATCAGTATTCAAGTTATTTATTTTGTCTATGGGATATGTATGCTGCGAGAAAGCCAACTCAATAAAAAAACATTTTGTTAGATGTATGTATTTAAATTTGCATGAAATAATGCAGTATAATAGAATAATGCTGTTGTTTTTTTCCCCTAGAACTGTCCTACAAAAGCAGAAGCCCGTCGTAGTGCAGCCAAGATAGCCTTAATGAACTCAGTCTTTAATGAGCATCCGTCTAGACGGATATCCGATGATTTCATCGAAAAAGCAGTCGAAGAAGCCAAATCATCATTCAAGGTAAACTTTTCAATGACAGTGATAGTTTTGATTCCCACAAATACTGTTTAGATTGACAAACCTTTATTGGTGGGTTAAAAGGAAGAAACCCTTCATGACCCATCCATCTTAACTGATATAAATAACTTAAAATTTAAAAGTATAGAATGTTAACCTTAATGTTAACCTTTAACATAAAGGCTTAGCTTATATTATGATATTTATGTTAACCTTAACATAAAGGCATAGCTGTTTTTATCTAACAGAAATATATTTTTTGATTTATTCCCGTCTATACATAGGATCCCCACTACAGACATAAAGATTTTTTCAAATCAAGTAATATGTTCTGTATGAAGTTTTACCTCGAAGTTTTGAATCTTCGAGAAAAAACACCAAAATTGCCACTGATTTTAGTTAGGTTAAAACAGTTATATTTTTGGATTTAGAAGCACTACTTGCGTTAAAAACTGACTTATAATTCTCAAAATGCAATTCAACTTCCCAGGGAGGCATCGATCAACTATTGATCCACCCGACATTGAGCCTTTCTCATTCAATTTAGAGTAAAGAAAATAATCTGAAATAATGCCTCATTCTCCTTATAGTAATAGTTTACTGTCGGTGATTTTTCAAGAAGATGCAATTGCATTTTCTTCACATATTCAAACTAGGTAGTCCATAAATTCAAGTTCAGATTGTGAAAATCCTTATGTTGCAGGGGGGGGGGAATTATTAGCATATCTGAAATCCACTCATCTCACAATATTAAAATCGCTCATTACGTTGCCATAACTTTACCATTACTCAAATTTTGCTCGCCAGCACATTTAAATTACAAAATCAGACACAAAAATTCTCTGAACAAATTTCTTTTTCAACGGATTTGAATTTTTGCGAGACAAAATATGAGGATATAATCAGTGAAACAAGGTCTTTGGTCAGAAGAACGATTGAGTTAGTTCAGAGGCTTCTTAATGTTAATTTTCACTTTTGTGTCTGTTTAAATATATATATATAGTTTNTATATATATATATTCGTTCCAGCAACTACATATCAATGAAGGTAGAACTCTTAACTAAAAGTTGAAAAATTCGAATGCTGCCTAAAAAAAAAAGATAATTCAGCTTAACCATTAGTTGCGAAGCACTAGTAGTGTATTTTTATTTGTTCAGCTGTGACATACAAAAAAATTTTTTTTTTACAGCTACCATCAGATTCAGATGACCCTGACAGATCTCATAGCGGTATCGATGCCTTTCGTTTCATGCTGGAATCCAACAAGGGCCGCACTATGCTTGAATTCCAGGAGCTTATGACAGTTTTTCAACTACTACACTGGAATGGTAGTCTGAAAGCGATGCGAGAACGACAATGTTCTAGGCAGGAAGTGGTGGCTCACTACTCTCATAGAGCTCTGGATGACGATATGAGGTCCCAGATGGCTCTGGACTGGATAGCCCGTGAACAGGAAGCTCCAGGTGTCATATCCCGCGAACTCTCAAGTGCAGAGAGAGAACTGGAAGCGGCAAGACTTGCCGGTCGTGAACTTAGGTTTCCCAAAGAAAAGAGAGATATTCTCATGCTAGCGTGTGGTCAAGTCAACAATGTAAACGGTCTTACTTAATTCCCAGCATCTTACATATAAATATATATTATACTCAGACGATGCCAGAATCGCTCTCGTCTATAGTCCTTTGCACTCGTGATACAAAGTATTGTATATAGAGACAATGTATGTTTGTAAATGAATTTTCCCATAGTCCTTATATAGCATCTCTACAACCATGATTCTAATCAGCTATGTCGTGAATTCCAAGTGTGTTTAGACATTATATAAAGACATCAATAAGTTTTTTTAACGAAGTATTTTAGAAGAATTGGAATGTAAATGTAAATGATTTAACTGAAAATGCCGTCAACCGCAGATTTCTCTCACCAAGCATAAAATGGAACAACTGAAGAGCTTAGTAGAAAAGCACATTAAGGGACATTTTTAAAACAATTTTTAAAAATAAAATAAATGTATAGTAATTGGTTGTTTAAATGGAAAATTAATTATTCACCGAGCGAGTAAATAAGATGGTTTTCAATGAAAAAATATTTCTTGTAAACAGTTTTCTGACATTAATTATTTCAAAGGTAAAGATTTCCTTTTTTATCTTCCCAAATTCACTTACATATTTTACAACTAAGCTCATTAAATAAGTACATCTGAAACAAATCATATTGTAAATGATAGAGCTCAAACTTATTTGATAGAAAAGTTTTGTTTGCCTTATTTTGCAAAGCATTTAAGAAATCTAACTAATGCTTTCATACTTTATACTGCCGTGCAATTGAAAAAACAACGTAAGCGACAAAAAATTCAAAATAGAGATTTTTATATATTAGACATATTGTTATGATAAGATGCCCCCTCCCCCATTGGATAGCAAGGAAAAGAAAATAATAGTCTCAAGCCACTCTTCTAAATATCTATTATGAAATGTTTACGTTGTTCTCTTAATTGCACGGCAGCATACATAGATATTTCAGAATGCATAACATAATTGAAATCTGCCTTATAGGGTTGTTTTTATGTCTTGAATTTAATCTTCATAGTAATGACAAATGTATTTTTAATTTGTGATATTTTAGGAGAAAATTTAGGTTGATTTTTAAGATTAAGCTCTAATGTTAACATTCATTTACTTAGTTAATTAACAAGTACATGTTTCCATTAAAACTATGCTATATTTGTGTAGAAGTATGTATGAATATAAACAATTGTACAGAAAAATAGAGTGTTGTAAATTATAATATTGTAAAAAATTAAGTCTGAAATGTTACAATTAAACTTATTTTGAAAATATGCTTGATAATCGCAACAAACTTTAAGAATTTAATATAAAAAGAATTTCAGAAATCTTCAGGTTTAGACACTCAATAAACAATCTGATAAATTAAAATTTTTAAACTGACTTGTAAATTCGCTTCTAATATTAAGGGTATATTACGCGATAAGCCGCCTTTTTCGATGATCCTATTGCACTATTGTCTTTCAGCGTTATTATTATACTATGAAAAAACAACATGGTGGTAAAATCATCTTATTTTTAATCAATTTATGACAGGAAAAAATGCAAAATGATTTTAGTGAGAATGTCTCTAAACTAAATTCATTACGTGGCTTTTAAACGTTTAGGTTAAATTAAAAATACTGTCCCGCAAAGTCTGAAAAATCTCGCAATTTTTAAATGACCTGTCGGGCATGTTAGAAGAAACAATCTAGTTCTCTCTATAATATTGTATTAATTAATATAAATAATTATACTTGGATTTGAAGTCAAATTATAAATACTTGTCTAAGTAAAAGAAAAATATAACCTGTAGTTGATTTAGTTGTATATGTGCTAGCCTCAGTTTTAGTGTTAAGGCATTAACAGGTTTTAAAACACACTGAAATTAAACACTTTCGTTCTTTCTTATAAATTAAAAAATAATAATAATAATTAATGTTTGTTGGGATATTTCTATCGCTTTGAAAGCGTAGAAATAAAAGCATGCGTTAACGCATGATGCTACTCTAATCTAATGTGATATTGGTTTATATTGTGTATATATGTCATTACTTGAGTGAACTGCTTTTTTTTACCATTTATTGTGTATATGTAACAATTGAAGAATGAGATCATTCCTCCAATGAGTGGTGATATTAAACTCTATAAGTGAGTCCGTATGGAAGAATGATTTTTTATTTTACCGAATTATTGATCACAATTGTATTAGTTCATAAATATGTGGTCTTGTGAGATTAATAACATATTATTTATGCTGATTTCTCATAATTTATTTTAATTTTTTTTGTGCAAATGATGTCTTTTAATATGCTTTAGTTAACTCTACTTTTTGGTGCTTTGTATAGTTCTCTTACGCCTGAAGTGTTGAGTTTATTTTAGATGTATTTTACTCCCATAAGAATTATGTGCTTAAAGTAGCCAAAAAGGATTTTCTGTCCCTTTTTTTAATTTCAAGAAATGACGGTTTCAAAATCGTTCGATACATGGCTCTTAATTTTTTTTTATTCGAAGAATCATTGTCTTTATAAAAGAATAGTACCTGCTAAAAAAATTTACAATTTTTAGTTTCGGTGAACAGTAAAAAGAGAAATAAGAAGAAAAATATGTGTGAAATATAGTTCATGAGAAACTTTACATTATTATGTAAGAAATCGTGTAGTTTTAGTCCTAAATTTATCAAAAATAGTGCATACTGTGGCGACATTAATATGCATGGCATTACTCAAAACAAACGTGGCAAAAGCAATCTGTAGATAAAATTTATAAATTTAAAGTAGCTTTAAAATGAGCAGTTTTTTTTCTTTTGATAATTTCTAAAAAAAAAATTATTCAAAAAAAAAACATTTTCATGTAATTTTTCTCCTTCATCTGCAATGATAATTTATCAATTTCACTTATTCATAGAATGCAAATCAAAATTAGAGTTATTTAGGGTGTTTATTAATCCTCAAACTTAAAATACCTATACTTAATACTTAAAATACCATACTTAAAATACCTATACGAGAATTTAACCAAGGTTAAAGGTTTGTCAAAACATTACCCTGATCAATCACAATACAGTGGGTTTTTAAGCATAAAAACCAGTTTATTTTCGCATAAAACTGAAAGTAGATTGAGAATTCTTTTCAATTTCATCCATCAAAACACTGTACAGAAATTGAAATTAAAATCATAAATACCGATTTATTTGTAGATAAGATTGAAAAGCTACGAAATGGGATTAATAAAAATGATCTCCAGTTTCACTTACAAATTAACTGGTTTCGATGTCTTAAACCTCACTTTTACTATGATTGACCTCAATGATTATTCATCAAATTTTGACAATTTTTTTCTTATAAATATTAATTTTGCCACCTCTGTTGTGTACATTTTTACTGCATCTTGACCACAAGTTATGTAAATATATTTTTAGGGTGGGGATTTAGGAACATCCAGTAGAAGATCAGAGAGGAAAATATTTAAAAACTCTCAAATACACTGAAATATACTATTTGTTAAGACTGTGAAATTGTTTTGAATAATTTCAATTCAATTACGATAAAACTTGAAATAAGGCCATGAAGTGTGGAAATGCGATGCTAACAAATGTTATATTTTAGTAACAAATTTATTTAACTCAGTTTTAACAATAATTAAACCCTTAAATTTTAAATGAAATGTTACTACATATAAAACAAGAATGACTTTTATTTTCTTTGCTTTTTTGTTATCTAATCTGTATCAGCTTGCTACATTCTTTATGGTGAGTGAAATGGTAACTAGATCACTATTGCTACAAACACATTTTTTAAAAATATTTTTGGTGATAATGGTAAAATTATTCCAAACAATTAATTCTGTTTAAATTTTTAGTGAAATATAAAACAGTCTTTTTTTTAACGTGAAATTATAAATTAAAAAGAAATGAACGATATCTAAAAACATTATTTTTGGGATTAAATTAAATTTTTGATACCGAAGTAATTTCTGACAGATAATAATGCAATAAAACTATTTTTAAGGAAAATGAAACACAAATAGGGTTTTCTGAGAAGTATAAATTTTAAAAAAAAATCCATGATTTATTTGAAAGAATGGTATAGCAATTTAGTTTTTTTTTTTTAAATTGTATATTTGAAAATTCTTATTTTAAACTATATAGTGATTGGTTACATCTGTTGCATTATTAAAGAACTATTTGATAGAAGTACATATGTTTTATCAATAAAATGATTATGAAGGCCATTTACTAAAAATTTGCATGCATAAATCATCAAAGCCACTTTAAATGACAGTTCCCTCAATATATATTTGTTTAATTCAACTGCAGCTCAGTTTTAATTAGCTTAAACCTAGCTTCAACTTGTCAATGAAGTTTTTAATTCATTTTATAAGCTCTGAATTTTCCTATTAAGAGTTAGTTTGGAAAATTCTCTACTTAAAATATAGTTAATTGCATCCTAATATGACATGCAAAACAAATCAGACATTTTATGATGTATATGATTTGTACAAATTATAAGAAAAAATAATCTATAGTGAAAATTTATCAGAAGAAAGTTGCAATTGAAAAAACAATAAGTTACGAGTTTGAACTTTATTAAATAGCTGAAATCTCATCTTTCAAAGATCCTAGTTTTTTGCTGTACTTCATAATTTCACAGTATATTTTTTGAACTGTAGCAATAGTCTCTAGCGACCTGTTGATTTGTTCTGTTTCAAAACTGTCTTTTATTAAGGTGCCTTTGATATGGGTCTGCAAAACACTGTGATAGAATTCTTATTTTTTTATTATTTTTTTTTGTATTGTACAGATAATGCAGCGAATAAAAATGCTTTTTTGTTACTTATTTTGTCTTGTGCTCTTCTTGCGTTTTCTATTAGCTTCCAAATATTTCATATATATATATATATATATATATATACACTCAAGAGCCAACACATTATGACCACCCCTACATTTTGCAATGAACTCTCCTGGATGACGTGGAAGGCACGTGATCAAGTGGAAGTGGTATTTAACTGTTGCTGGAGAGTTTGAAGAATCATTCTTTCACTTACTTCTGTGTGTGATGGGAAAGGCTGCGGATCTAAGCGACTTTCATAGAGAGCAGATTGTAATGGCTCGAAGGCTCGAAACAAGTATTTCCGAAACTGCACGACTCGTGGGTTGTTTGCGATCTACAGTTGTTAGTACTTATGCAAAGTGGATGAATAGTGGTGAAACCAGCAGTAGACGACATGGTGTTGGTCGTCCACAAGCTATTAAAGAAAATGTCGTTGGAGATTGTTTCGCTTGGTGAAGCAAAACCGGAGCCAGACACTGGCTCAGCTAACAGCCCAATACAATGCAGGGTCAAGTAGAATAGTATCAGAGCATACTGTTCAGCGGACACTGTTGGATATGGGGCTACGCAGCAAACGTCCCACTCGCGTGCCTTTGCTGACCAAGCGACATCGCCAACTACGCCTGTACTGGGCCCGGGAACATCGCGACTGGTCCCTGGATCAGTGGGAGAGAGTTGCCTGGACAGATGAATTACGCTTTGTCATTCATCACGCCTATGGCCGTGTCAGGATACGCCATCTTCCACGCGAATAGTTGCTCCCTCAATGTACAGTAGGTCATACGCAGGCCGGTGGTGGTGCTATAATGCTTTGGGGGACGTTCTCTTGGGCGTCTCTGGGACCCGTAGTTGTTGTAGAGCAGAGCCTGAATGCTACAGGGTATCTGAGCATCATTGCGGACCAGTTGCACCCTTACATGGCCTCTGTTTTTCCAGCTGGAAATAGAATTTTCCAACAGGACCCCGTGTCACAAGGCTCAAATTATGTTGGAGTGGTTTCAGGAACATGATGCAGAATTCCAGTTAGTGTCCTGGCCACCTAACTCACCGGATCTCAATCCGATAGAACACATTTGGAATGTCATGGAACGGCAGTTCAGAGTTCAAAGACCACTAAGTCGCAATATCTCGGATTTGCGTGACCGTTGCTTAAACATCTGGTACAATCTGTCTCCGGCCATCCACCAAGGACTTGTGGCACCCATGCCAAAGTGGGTTGCAGCTGTGTTGCAGGGTAAAGATGGACCAACTCGTTATTAAGAGGTGGTCATAATGTTTTGGCTCTTGAGTATATATATATATATATATATATATATGGCTTTTGTAATCAATGACAACCGGCCGATGATTTTAGTATCTGGTCCAGAGGTTTCCCTCTCCATATAACGCAAATGTGGTGGCAATTTCTATTACCCAAAATCAAGTCCTCAATTAAGACTAGTTTGATCCAAGAATTCCCATGTCTTTTGCTTTCATTCAGAACTAGAAGGCCGCTGAGTTGAATAGTCGCGAACTCAAAGGGGTGTCGACTGTTCAAAATTGGGTATAAAATGAAAAAAAACAGCTCTGCTCAGTGCTTATTACCACCTACTTGAAGCAAATCAGCGAAGCTTAAAGATACACGTGCTCACTGCCATAAGCTTGAAAAGGTCAGGTTGATTAAAAAGTAATAAAGAATTTAAATTAGCCTGTCCCATTACTAAATGATGAGGACTGTTTGCAGAGAGCAATGCTATTTAATTAACCTATAGCGTATACGTAATTAAATTATGATAGTCATAAAATTTTAAATTACATTTATGAAACTAGGAAATAAGTGTAAGACAATTTACTACCATTAAGTATAGTCTTTCGGCTTGAAAGGTAAAATAGACGGCTGTGATATTTATGTACTACAATTGAAACGGGCCATTTTACGAAAAAAAAATTTGGGGCAGATGAATTGAAAGTTTTCATTGCTTGCAAACTATACAAGGCTTCCAAAATCCGTTCGATTCAATCCAAAATGTTAACAAATCTTCAAAATTAAAAAGTATAAAAGTATTAAATCTCATCATCCGAAAATATATTATTCCTTTTATTTTTGAATTTTGGCATGTCTTGAGCCTTTAAAAGTCTGCTCTGAACTTATGGCTTTTATGTGCTCTTCAAATATTCGTCCTGACTTTCAAATAAAAATATTCCCTTCCAGTTTAATAATTAACATTGAATAATTAATTTTTAGAAATTCTGTTTACTTACTATATCACTAATAAATTTTCTAAAATAAACAATTTTCTTCTAAAAGATCCTTTAATGGATCTTTGAACAAAACAAAAACAAAATATATACAGAGAAAGCTTTCGAAAAATATTATAGGGCTACTCACATTTCATTAAAAATAAACAAATTCTGTATCTTATTTTAATTTCTATCTGTACGCCCATTATTAATTTGTATTTAATTTTTCTTTAAAAAAAAGTAAAAACATTTTGGTTATGTTTAATAAATTCTTTATAATAAGTAATCTTAAAGTCGCCAATTTTACTACTTTTTGCTGCTTTCTATGGTTTTCTATAGTTCCCTAGTTTTGATTACTATATTATGAATCATATCTGAAAACTAGAAAAAAATTCACAAAAAGCGAAAAATATTTATACTTATACATTCGGCTGGACTGAAAAAAGCAATATTATTATTATTATCTCTGCATAGTATATATGCTATTAAGAGGTTTTTTCTATATAAAAAATTGACATTTGACGATTTTGGCGACATTTTGAAATTTTTTTGTATATTTTTTAAATTGAATTCTTATAAGTAATTATAGGCAATAAGAGTTTTATTTCATAACTGCGCAAATACAAAATATCGTAAATTAAAACTAACTGGGTTTTTTTCGCGAAGTTTTCGTTTTGAAAAATTGAGTTTAAAATTTTTCTTAAAATGAGTTAAAAAAAGTTTAGATTATAATTAACTAAAATCTTAATACACACACTGTAAAAATATTTCGTGAATAGTTGCCACCAATATTGGTGTTGTGTTAAACTAAATACATTTTTAAGTACTGAAGTGTAGTTATCGTGCATGAAATTATACGGAATTGATGAAATAATAATTTTTCAAAAGAATTAGTGCGAATATGTTACAGAAGATGTTTTTAAAAAGAGATGTTTTTGCAATAAAGTCATGAAATTGTTTCTAATGTGCATTAAAATATTTGTTGTCAGTAAACAAACAATCAAAAAATGAATTATTAAATAAATATTGAAAAAAAGTAAATAATAATGTAGTAAACATAATCATGATAGTGAAAAAGTGAATAAAAAATGTGATTTCATGCACTACAAAAATTTTAGTTTACTTCGACATCAAAAATGATGGCAACTGTATTCCAAAATTTTAAAGAAAATTCTTTTTGCATGGAGTTCTATTGTATTAAGATAAACTATAATTATATCCTAAGATTTTAAATTTGCTTAAGTAATATCGAGTTATGGTGAACAATGCAAAACTTCTAAACTGTTATATAAATCAGCTTTTCCCAATTTTTTCAGGATACGGAAACAAAAATACTTGACTCTCTTTTGGTGGAACACTGATTTAATAAATAATGCTCAAAAATTAACCTAAGAAACACTATCAGTCATTTTGATCCTATGAGGAATTTAATTAATTTTACATCGTTTTATCAGTAATACTGTCTAATCTAGCTCCGAATTTGTTTTCGGTGTTATGTATTAACTGAAAATGGATGAAATAAGCTGAATTATTGTTTTTGTTTAAATGAAAACGATGAAGTGTTGTAAATATTGAGAAATGTTATCAGAAAAACGCATGTCGTTGTTATTGGTTATTTTCTTTCGAATGGAAAATGCTTATGGGAAATACTAGGGCAATTATTGTTCTTTTTTAATAATAATATCTTTTTTACAACATTTTTTTACATAACTTCAGAAAAATAAACGAAATACTAGATAAATAGTGATTTGATCCATATAAAGATCATTAAAAAAACAAAAAATCGCATTAAGAAGTCGATAAAAATCAAAATAAGTGTTAGATATGAATCAAAAATCGTTTGAAGAAAAATCCTTTAATTCTCGGAACCCCTATGAACCTTCCAAGCAAAACTTTTCGGGAATCACTAAATAATTCAATTATTACATAGAATTATTAATTATTCATATACATCACATAATTCACATAATATTACACTGAATTATAAATAGCTCAATTGCTACAATTAGATGATGTCTTGCGAAACGCATTCTCTATTTTGCCTCTCTTGCCTTTGTCATTATGATGAAGATGTAACTGTGTAACATCGAAACTTGTTTCAGTTTTTAATAGATTTTACTATTTGTAACTTAAAACGTTGTTTTTAGTCTATTTTAATTTTATTATTAAGGATAACTCTCGTTGTTTTAATTGTAATGAGGGAAAGAAGTATTTAACTTAAATAATCCAAATGTAAAACCGAAGTTTCACCAAAATATCCTAGCTGCCACTCCACTTGTGTAACGAAGATCATATAACAGAAAAGAAAATTCTTTTGTAATTTTTTACTCCAACCACCCTTGTTTTTTATTTTAAATACGTCAATTGGAATCAAGCACAACAATACGGGACATGCTTCTGGCGGAGTTGCCATTTGACTTTTTAATAAAGATGACACAATGTTAACGAAACCAGAGATCAGTATATTTGGGATCACTACCATGTGATATATACACCGACGAGCCATTACATTATGACCCCCCTCCATCTATAACAATGGGCTCGCCCAGGTTTTCATGGTTTCTCGCCCAGGAACAATGTTTTCATGGGGCACATTAGAACCCATAATCCTCATAGAACAATCCCTGACGTCTGTAAGCTACTTGAACATAGTTGTAGACCAGGTTCACCCATTCATGGCAACAGTTTTTCCTGCGGGGGATGGTGTTTACCAACAGGATAATGCACCATGTCATAAGGATCGAATAGTCGAGGAACATTCCAATGACTTTCAAATCAT